CATCCTCCCTGTGCCTGCTGAGAGCAGCAGAGCTGAGAACTGAGGAAAACCAGGCTGAGAGGGCCTTTCATTGGAGCCCAACACTCCAGCCAGCTGGGACTTACCACATGCCAGCAGTGCCAAGCAAGGGCTCAGCTCACAACCATCCCAGCAGAGATGGGATGTTGGACCCGCTCGCTGACTTGCCCTTTCCTTGCTCCTATCACAAGTGCTTTAGTGACATTTGCAGACTTCAGGACATCCTGCAGCTGCTGGTACCCATGGAGGAGATCCCCAAAGCCTCTAGCATCTCTGCTGCATCATCTGCTTGGCCCTTCCAGCCCTTTAAACAAAACCAGGGTGTTTTTGGAAAGCAGCTGGACTTTCTGCACAGCCTTGCATGCTGCATCCACTCAGGGAAATGGTTTTTCCACGTGCTGGGGCCATCAGCTAATGTTTGTGCAGCTGCAATAAATACTTCCCCTTGCCACCATTTGGAGCAGGAGGAGAAGAGTTTGGAGGTGCCAAAGGGCTCTGAGCTCCTCTGCAGAGGCTGGTGTGACCCAGAGAAGGTGCCCTGCCTTCTGGATGCCATCCTCTTCCTCGCTTCACCCCCTGACAGTGGCTGGGCACAGCAGTCTCCTGCTGTGGTACATCCAGATGGGCTTCTAGAGAAGGAAATGCCATAGAAATTTGGAAGCATCTGTGAAAAAGAATAACAAAAAAAAAAAGCTTGTTTGGAAACTGTCCTGTGCCCTTGGGAAATTGTTGATGCTGAGAAATTTCAAAGTGATTCAAAGAACAGAGGATTTGGGTTTCCTTCCCCCTCCTGCCCTGTGGTACATACAGAGGTAGTTGTGTTGTACTGGGAGTCCTGTGGAAGTAGCTTTGCCTGGGGCTGCAGCCTGGGCCAGGGTGGGAATAAGGACCTGGACAGGGGCTCAGTCCCACCTACTGCCCCAGCCAGTGGGGATGTGTGAGTGCCTTATGCAGCCCCTCAGCACAGCATGGATGGTTGTGCTGCTTCCTCTGAGACCTTCCACTGAACAAGAGAAGAACAAGGGCCTGATTGTGTGCGTTGTTGAAAAACAGCAAACTTCAGGATTTTCAGGCTCTGGTAAATGCAAATTGGGAATTTCCACACGGCAGGTTCAAAGCTTTGGTGTTTCAGGGGCAGTGAGAAACACACAGGCTTCAGCCCTGCTCAGCTCGGCTGGTGTGGGGAGCACGGGTGCTGGGGGGTCCTGTCCCATCCCTTCTCTCTCATGGGAAGGTGCCACAGAAGAGTTGGGAGCAGCTGAGTCCTCCAGGCTGGGCTGGTGGGAACCCCATGTAGAGCCAGAGCAGAGAGGGAGTGTGTTTGTGTCCCACCATTTATTTTTTTTTAAAGATGCAAACCCTCTCCAGAAACCACAGATCCATAAATAATGGTTCTGCTCAGACAGACCCTCCTCCCACATAGGCTGCTTCTCAGGCCTGTCTTAATTGTGTTACCAACTGGCTGGGGAGAGTTCTGCTCTCACTGTGTGCTGTCCCACTTCCACCCCGTGGTCCAGCCCTGGAGAGGGTGGGCACGTGTTTGTGGTGAATGAGCTGTGTCCCTGGAGGGAGTTTGCTTGTGCTACACTGGGCTATAGTGCAGCAGGAGCTCTTGGAGGAGGTAGGTCATGGTCTGCAGGTGCAGCACAGGGGTCTCAGCCAGGCTTTCCCATATGCCCAGCTTTCTCACACCCAATGGGACCCATATCCTCCCCCCCAACTCTTCTTTTTTTACTTGACTTTGAGCTTGCTTCTCTAAACTGTCTTCTCCCTTCCTCCCCCCTCCTGGAAAGGTACCGCACCTTCTTCAGACCCAGGTACAAGATTGGCTACAAGACAGTGACCGAGCTGGCCTGGAGGTGCTGCCCAGGCTTCATGGGAGAAGGGTGCCATGACAGCCCAACCGACCAGCCTGGCCTCCTGCCCCAACATCCCAGCCCAAAAATGCCTCCTGGGCAAAAGATGTTTCCAATCCCCAGACTTCCTCCCCATCCAAAAAGCCACCCCGACCTGTTTCCAGGACCAAAGAAGAATCAATATGGTGAGATCTTGCTCCTGCTTCACATCTCCAGGTTACCACACCACCAACACGGTCTCAGACCAGTTCTTTCTGTTCCAGCACATGAATTTAGCAAACCTTCAGTGGGTGACCTGCCTTCCGATCAGAGGCCTGACATTTGATTGCTTTGAGGTTCACTTGCTTTTTTAAAAAGACATTCTGTTTCAAACTTGCCTTTCCTCATCACCTTAAAGCATTTTTCCATTAATTTGAGGGTCAATAGGGGCTGTCTCAAGATGAAGCTCCCTCAGGCTGTTCTCATCACGTGCTGTTGAACTTGGGAGCAGAGGGTGTAATCCCAAGAGGGGAGTTTCCTGACCAGCTTCAGAAGAGATGCAGAGGAAAGGAGGAAGGGTGGGCAGATGCTTTGCTGAAATGGCAATATGAGGGAGGCAGGAGCTGATGTTCATGTGGAAAAGAACTCAGATCTAGAAGACAGGCAAGGAGGGAAGTTAAAGGAGGACCAGCCCTGACTGTGCCTTCTCTTGTCTCTTTAAAACTCTTCCCCTGTGCAGGTAGGAAGCTGCCTGGCCTCTTCGGGGACCGCCTGGACCGGCTGGAGGAGGAGGTGAGGCGCCTTTCCCAGTCCTACGACAGCCTGCACACCCTGGTGAGCAGCCTGAGGCTGGCCATCCAGGAGGACACCACCAAGATGATCAGCTCCTTGATGAACAGCCCAGGCACCCCTGACTCCATGGTGGGCTTCGGCATCATTCCGGATGGCCTGGTGGACGTGGCAGACAAAGCTGATATCGCCACCTTCCCTCCCGTGGGGGAGATCCTGACCAAAGTGACGGAGGTGAGCGACGTGCTGAAAACGAAGGCAGATCTGCTGCACGAGGTTCGTGGCATGGTCCTGGACCACGACGGGCAGATCAAGCACCTTCTGGAATCAGCCCGGCCCTCCCCTCTCACCTCCATCGACCTGCTGGAGGAGTACGTGGACACGCGGCTGAGCAACCTGCGCGGGGAGCTGCTCGACGGCTTCGAGAAGAAGCTGGGGAAGATCCAGACCACGTGTGACTTCCGGATCCAAGAGGTGAGGCAGCAGTGCGAGGAGGAGAAAGCTGCCAACCTGAGGCTGCAGCAGACGCTGGATGGGAAGGAGCTGGAGATCAAAAAAGAGATCTCCCAGCTGGAAACCCAAATCCAAGGGCTAACGGTGGTGGAAAGCTGCTGCAGCAACCTGGACTACCTCACCGACCGCATGAACATCCTTGAAAAAGGTCTTCACAGCATCTCTGACTCCCAGAAGAACTTGCACTCGCGGCTGGATGGTGAAGTCTCCACTGCCACCCTAGGCAACCTTTTTGAAGGGCGCTTTGAAGACCTGGAAGCCCGGCTCAATGCTACAGAGGGAGAAACAGGAAGCTGCTGCTCCAGCGTAGAGGACAGCGTGAGAGGCATGGTGGTGGCAGAGGTGGATGGCATGAGGACTGCCTTTGAAGACAAAATGCAGACCCTGGAGGACAGGTTCATGACCATTGTGGGGGAGCTGAACAACGTCAGCTCTCCCGTGGGCATGGAGGGAGCGGTGGTGCCCGTGCTGGAGGGGGAGCTCGCCAGCATCAGGAAACGCACGGACGAGAGCCTGGAGGTGCTGCAGAACCGCCTCGTCACGTTGGAGACAACTTGTTCCCTGGGCTGCACCTCTGCCTCCAAGGACGTGGAGACTTTCCGGACAGAGATAGAAGACTGCCAGAACAAGAATCAGGACCTGCTCCTCCGGATGGACAGCAACTATGACCTCCTGCGCAAGCTGAACGCCACCATCCTGGAGATCCAGCGGCGGATCGAGGAGGAAGCCTCGGGGGCTTTGCAAGGGGAGATCACCTTGCTAAAGATCAACCTCAACACCGTGAGCAAATCTCTGACAGGCCTCAAGGACTCGGTCTCCCAGTACTCAGACACCATGACCCACGTCAACTCCTCGCTGGATGAGCACGAGCGGAAGATCGAGGATGAGGTCCACTCCATCCAGGAGAAAATCAACAACCAAGGCTCCCAGCTTTTCTTCAGCAACCGGCGTGTCCTGAACCTTAAGGGAGACTTGGAGCGACTCAAAGCCAGGATCATCAGTGACCTGAGCTCCTGCAAGAGCGTGGCCCAGGACCTGCAGCAGGAGATCTCTCACTTCGACGACCGGGTGGCTCGGGTGGAGAGCGTTTGCGGCAGGTTGGGCGCCGTCACCGGGAGCCTGGATGGCATCAGGGATGAACTGGAGAAACACACGGGCAGCCTGTGGGACTACATGGACCACATCAACGGGACGCTGGCTGCCCACTCTCAGGAAATAACAGGACTGAAGGACAACCTGCTTGACTGCCAAGCCAAGGTCTCGGAGCTGGCAGAGCAGGTCTCCCACTTGGAAGAGCAGGCAGAGGGGAAGCAGCATTAGCTGTGCCCCCATGTGCTGCTTCTTTCTCCTCCTGGTAAAGAACAGGATTAACTTATATCACACAGACTAGCTCCAATGTGACAACAGTTCTTGGGATAATTTTTTTTTAATGAGAAGATAAATTAAAAGCTGCTACAAACCTTTTTTATTATTATTTTAAAGTCCTGTCAGCCTCATTCCTCTGTAACTTTGCCTCCTGGTGCTCAGCAGCTGTCCTGACCCTGGAGCAGCCAGATCACTGCCTCCTGGCTGGGGGTGGTAACTTGGCTCCTGGGCTGATGACCCCAGAAGGACAATTGAGGAGGAAGCTGGAGGCGGGGAGTTTTTAATTTTATTTTTGTGGATTTATTGCTTCTTGAAGAAAAAAAAAAAAAAAAGCAAAAAACCAACCCTGTCGTTGTCAGTTGAGGAATAGAGTTTCCCTGACCTAAAGACCTCCTGCGCCTTAATCCAGAGACTGAGCAGAGCCAGAGCTCCTTCCAGGGAACAAAACTCACCACAGGATTGTGGGTTTCAAGGAACACACGTATTCACACCCCCCCGGGAGCTGCCTTCCCCTCCCCGAGCCAGCAGCTTCTCCTGCCTGGTAAATCCATTCACACTGCTCCCTCCTCCAGGCAAACACACGTGCCTCATGGAGCATGTGAGGTTCTGCATGAGGAACACACACATATGCATATATATATATATAGATTGGGATGTGTCTATATTTTTGATCAGTCCCCTGTCCTGGTGCTCATCTGGCTGCAGTTCCCTCTTGCTGCCTCACAGCCCTTGCTGTACTTCAAAGAACTTGCTGCAGCAGGGCTTGGGGGGCAGCCCTGTGGACTGCCATGGTTTGTGAGCCCACCTTGCCCTGCTTGCTGATCCCACCTGGGGATATGGAAAACTTGTGCCTTCCCCAAAGTGAGGTGTCTGTAGGTCACTGCAGAGACCAAGCTGGGCAGGGAGCATCCCTGTGCTCCAGCACTGGTTCCCAAAAGCAAAACACCAACCCTGTCGTTGTCAGTTGAGGAATAGAGTTTCCCTGACCTAAAGACCTCCTGCGCCTTAATCCAGAGACTGAGCAGAGCCAGAGCTCCTTCCAGGGAACAAAACTCACCACAGGATTGTGGGTTTCAAGGAACACACGTATTCACACCCCCCCGGGAGCTGCCTTCCCCTCCCCGAGCCAGCAGCTTCTCCTGCCTGGTAAATCCATTCACACTGCTCCCTCCTCCAGGCAAACACACGTGCCTCATGGAGCATGTGAGGTTCTGCATGAGGAACACACACATATGCATATATATATATAGATTGGGATGTGTCTATATTTTTGATCAGTCCCCTGTCCTGGTGCTCATCTGGCTGCAGTTCCCTCTTGCTGCCTCACAGCCCTTGCTGTACTTCAAAGAACTTGCTGCAGCAGGGCTTGGGGGGCAGCCCTGTGGACTGCCATGGTTTGTGAGCCCACCTTGCCCTGCTTGCTGATCCCACCTGGGGATATGGAAAACTTGTGCCTTCCCCAAAGTGAGGTGTCTGTAGGTCACTGCAGAGACCAAGCTGGGCAGGGAGCATCCCTGTGCTCCAGCACTGGTTCCCTCCTGGTGTTTTTGCTTAAACTGTGAATATGGTTTCCCTCTTCTTGTCCTGGGGAAGGAGAACTGCAGCTGCTCCAGGGGGTGACTGCCAGGATTCACCCACTCTGTGCTGGCTTTCCTTGTCTGGCAGCACTGGAGCAGGAGCTTGTGTCCTCTTCAGCTTCCTCTGAGCCTGCTGTGATGCCAACAGCCCTAGGGACCCACACAGGTGTGGAGCATGTGGGAGGAGGAAGGCAGGGCACCTCTGAGGAGGCATCTCAAGACTGGTTGCCCAAAAACATGCAGGCTGGAAAAGGCTGTACCTATTCCTGACCAAGTCCAGCCTTGCCCTAGGAAGCAGACACCAGGACCATGCTGCTGTTGCACCCAAAACCTGCCTCTCCCAGGGAGCCTCCACTGCTCAGCCAACAAGGACTATACAGAAAGGATGAAGAAGAAATTAAAGAGCCTCCATCTGACCAACTCTGGCACTTTATAGCAAAGAGAAATCAGCTCATTGCTGCAGCTCATGGAGTCTTCAGCTCCCACTTGGTGCTCATCACCCTCATCCCCTGCTCTTCTGCACCTCAGTTCCCCCTCAGTCTTTCTTGACCCTCAGAAGAGCAGCTCTGTGCTCTGACCAGCACGATGCAGCAGCAACTCCCAGTAGAGCTACATCTGGGCAGGTTTCCTCCTCCATAAAAACTAGATGAGCTCGCTGAAACAGATGCTTCCAGGCTGGAGAGGACCACAGGCATCACCAAGTCCAGTTGGCTGCATCATGTTACCCTCATGAGGTAAAAGCTCCTTCCCCTGCCAGAGGAGCATGGGCCACCAGCAGTACAAGCTGAGAGAGGGGACCAGGCTTCCCACCACTCAGTCACCCTTGCAAGCTGCTGGATACTCACGGCACCTGAATTCACTCTCTCTGCTCCAGACTTGGCTGATTTGGACCTCTGCTGCAGCTGCTCAGACACTTCTCCAGCTGAGAAACAACCTCCAGCCACCTCCAGGTGTCCTGCAAAACCTGCTATTTGCCACCAAAACCTACTTTGCAATGGGTCAGGGAGCCCTCACCCCACAGGACCATCCTGCCCTCACCCCATCCTCTCACAACAGGGAGAAAAAAGGGCTGCAGCAACCAAAGAAAAAAAAGAAGCCAAGGACCAGGCTCTCCCCTGCCCAGGGCAGGGCTGGGTGAGAGAGCAGCTCAACAGCCTCCTCCAGCTCACAGGGAGCCCAGGACTGGCCATAACCAGGACAAGGAAGAAGTCTGACCTTCCAGAAAAATGGTGCTATGTTTGGACAATTCCTGACTAGTCACTTGAAGCTACACAGGCAGTTTGTATTTCAGTTCTCAGCTATTCATGTTTAAAGAGTGAAAGGAACTTCGTATAAAATAGGGGTTTTTTGTTTTTTGGGTTTTTTTGTGCTTGCAGAAAGGGAAGGATTTGGTCCTTGCACAGGCAGCTTTCCAAGGCAGTTGACAACTGATCCTGTTATGAGGCTGTGTTTTATTGTTTTTAAAACCTTGTACATTTGTTCAAATTTTAAAAGCTGAAAGACTGTTTGTACTGAAAAGAAATAAAGTATTTCTTGCTGATGTTTCCAGGATCAGAATGACTTGGGTGGCTTTAAGGGAAGCAGCATAGGCCCAGGGTTGGGTTAAGACAGGGAGCTAGAGTTAGAACACAGAGGTGATTTAAAGAAGAGAGGATAGGTAGAGCAGGAGGAGATGATTTGCACTGAAACACTGTGGTTAGGGAAGGAGAAGCTGGATGCCAGACTGGAGGAAGGAGCCCAGCAGTGCTCCTGCCTGTTTTGTTTTCTGCAATTACAACAGAGAGGTCCCAGAGAAGGGGAAGAATCCTGCTGCATCCACAGCTGCCCCCAGTGCTGTGGGGTTTCAGAAGTCCCCCTAGAATGGGGACAGGCTGTTCTAATCCTAATCCAACCCTACCTAAGGGCAGCTGAGCTTTCTTTGCATACTCCAGTACAGGGGCACAGGAATAAGCTCCTGCTCTGGCACGAGGCTGTGACAGGCTCCTGGCACAGAAGTGATTCAGTTCCCTCCTCACACATACACAGGTTTGCTCCCTGGATTAACTCAGGTTTGTGGCCTTACCTGAAGGTAGTAAGTGAAAAGACAAAAAAAACACTTCAATTTTAAAAGACCTTTAGTGCAGCTGCTCCACAGGCTCAGGAAGCTGCAGGTCCTGCCCCCATCTCCATCAAGACCTACCTTAACAGGATTAACCCAACCACATTTGTAAAAGCACACTGAGCCTGGCACCCACTCCCATGCACAGGACAAGAGGCAGCTTGGGTTAAGGCACCATTTATTGCTATTAGTGGAAAACACTCAAACCCCCAACTGCTTCCATCCACCTTAACAAGTCATTAGGCCACGGGACAGCTTCACACCATCAGCTACCAAACTGCAGGCAGCTGGGCTGCCTGGGAACACTGGTCATACTGGAGGTAGCAATAGCCATGCCAGAGGCTCATCAACAAGTAAGACAAGGCCCCACCATCACCTTTTAAAAAGAGCCAGGCTTTAAAGGTGTTAATAACATTATGATGAGACCCAGCTTACAGAAATTCCCATTTGGTTAAGTGGAGCTTTTGTAGAGTCAGAGCTCCTTCCTACCCCCCTCCAGCCCCCTGAGAAGGGCTCTTTCTAGTGCAGAACGTGACCCGTATTAGAAGTGCAAAACACCTGAGCAGCCAACAGGGAGGACAAGATGCATCTGGAGCATCCAGGCCTGGCAGAGGGCACACAGGAGAGCCCTGGGTCAGGCGATGGGGTCAGGAGAAGACATCCAAGTCAACAGCAGGCAGAGGAGGTCTCCAGTAGGCAAAGTGGCTGTACTCTGGGCACACCAGGGCAATGCTCCCACTCTGCTCCAGGGGAGGGAAGATCAGCTCCACCAGCTCTGATAGCCGCTCATACCTGTGGGGGCAGGAAAGAAGCTGCGCTGGGGGCTTGTTTGCTTTTTGACCCTAGGAAATGCTTCTCTGGGTTAAAGCCAGGTTAAGCCAAAGGTGCAGAGGAACAAGCAGGTCACTTACGTCGATTTGTGGTTCTTTGTGAGCTCCTGGATCAGCTCACCCTTGGGGTTGACAGTGAATATCCGGCTCTCGGGCAGGCCCACTTGCTTGTAAGCATAGACATCCTGCCCAGGGAAGGCCAGCAAGGCGTGAGAGCTGCAGGCAGGCACCACCACCACCCCAGCCTGAGCCCTCCCTCCTCCCCAAGAGAACCACTCACATTGGCTCTGTTCCCAAAGGCTGCGTAGAAGGGCAGCTTCGTGGCAAACAAGCTTTGGATGTCCATCAAGCAGGCAATCTTGAACACCTCTGGCTTCTTCTCTATCACCTCCCTGCAGCACAAGACACACACACAGAGCAGCAGGCAGTGGCATCAGCTGGCCAGGACTGCCTTCAGAAGTTATTTGAGGGGCAAAAGTGGTTTTGTTCATTGCAGAAGCTTTACCCTGAAGCTCCAGAGAGGGCAGGCAGCTCCCCAGCTGCCTCCCATCAAAGGCATCCTGCACCAAGGAGGCCAGAAGCAGCTTAAGGGCTGTGACACCACTCAGCATTAAGCTGGGAAAGGGGGGGTGCCACCCCCAGGGACACAGCAGGAGCAGGGCTGGGAAGGAGAGGACATAGTACCTGTGGAAGGCAGAGAAGAGGCTGCTGGGGGAGAGCAGGATGGGGCCCTTGGGGAGGACACAGCCTTGCTCGTTGACCCACTTGAGGTACCCCTTGGTGATGTGTGCCATGCCAATGGCTCTGGCTGAGCAGTAGAGGAACTTGTACCCGTTCCTGAAAGGGAGCACAGGGAACCCCTCTGAGCTGTGCTCTGGACAAGGTGTCCTCACAGTCCTGCTCCAAGGCCAAGCACCTGGCCTAAGCCCAAACCTGTTCACCCCTTCAGCAAGCAAGGTGGGTCCATCCAAACATGACCTGCTTGCCCAGGTTGAAGCCCAATCCCCCACACCTCCCTCACTGCTGGTGAGCAGCACCGGAGGGGGGACCCCCTGGCACCCCCTGGCCCTGCCCAGCAGCCACACGCCCACCCTGGCTGCTCAGTACCCTGCACCCGGGCAGGACCCCCGGCAGGACCCCGGG